GAGGCGACGGGAGAACGAACGGCCTGGGACATATTATTGTGGGCATTCCTCAACCCGTTCCAGTGTTCTTGAGTAAGGTACATGCTTGCCTGCCCAATGCTGAGGCAAGCTGCAACACCCGCGACAGTCAACCCCCGTCGTGATCGTTTCGTCAAAGGGAATGACACGTTCAACGACAGACTACATAGTACAGTCGCTACCGTCGCTGGTGGTTCGGACGGAAAGTACCCTCCTTCCTGTTCGTTGGAACCTTTCTTGCACCTCCAGAGCAGCCAAGAGCTCCCCTTCCTAGTTCATCCGTTTTCTGAGGCACCTCAGGTTCATTAACCCAAAGTTTATCACCGAGGCCGCTACAGTTCCGATGTACCTTTCCTGGGATGTGTTTAGGACAACCACAAGTGCGAGGCGAGCGAGAATATCGCCGCATTCACCTCTTCCGTGATAGAGCTACCTAGATAGAGGTAGCAAGTGGAGTGGCACGCGCGCTTTCCCCGCGAGTTGTTGGGCCGTGGCCTCAACTAAGAATCATCTCAGCCTTGCTTTCCGCTTCTGTCGTCTTCGATTCATCAACGTAGTTCTGGTCCTTCCCCTCTCTCTCCGCGGCATAGTGAATACATAGCATAAGTGCTGACACGTTGTCGCTCTGTTGACCGTCCTGCCCGCGGCCGACAAACTCTGCTATTGCCAAGCAAACTCAATTCAAGGGAAAGGGTCGCTCGGGATACTCTATTTCGTCGTGCCAGTCTCGATCTTTGACAGACGACCTGGTCGACCGTTTATTACCGCTCTAGTCGCCTTGGTGGTTCTTTTCCGACTCGCCGGTTGGGTTGTCCACGAGGAGTCGGAGCCCGCCCGCCCCGCCAGTCCTCTCATCGGTTTCGTCCCCGCCGTCCAACGACTGGCAGCAGGACGGGCAGGCGTGTTGACATGCGAAGTGGTAGTGTCGCCAGGCTTTGCTGCACCCGGGGGAGTGAGTACGTACTGACTGTCTTCCTTTTTCTCTATCTGCTTCTACGGAGATCACCAGTCTGACATGTCCGTACCCGGCGCCTTGCACAGTTTGGCAGTCCCTCTCCACACCTCTCGACCGGCATCCCCTCTCCACTACGAAGAATCCAACCAGACGGTTACGGGTTCGCGGCTCCAGGCTAGACAAGACTCAGCCACAGCAAATCGGCAACATTGACGTGTTCCCGCACCCTAGGAGCGCGTCAACTGCTTCGTACGCCTTTTCTTCTGCCCCCCACCGGAATACGGCCTTCTTTCTAACCCCTGAATGCGCCAGTGACTGACTACGACACGAACACCGAGGCCCGGAGGTGGTGTCCTGTAGGCAACCGTTGGCCAGTTGCATAAGATGAATCGCCAGGTTCCATTGTCGTCTGGGAAGAAGTGAAAGCTGCTGTTGCTGGACAGGCAGAACCTCAGAGCTCTACGGCATTCAGATGCAACCTCTACCCATCATGGACGAAAACGCCAAACACAGGAAACTGCCGTCCGGGTAAAGATGTTATCTCGGAGGTTGGTGGTTGTGTTTGTCCTTCTTGCTCGGACCTCCGGGACAAGACTGAGAGACCAGCAGCAACAGGGTCAGAAGAGGGAGTTGCCGACGCCACGCAGCGACGTGCACGACAACACAACACAGAACATCCAGCGAGATAGCGACGCCTGCCAGATGTGCCCTACGCCCGAAGACGGAGCTAAAGTTGCTAAGACGCTGGGAGTCAATTCTGCTTACCGATCGTCGTGTCCGTTCCCGCGCTTCCTGGAAGGATGACATGGCGTGGGATGCCTCTTTACGTTGTCGACCTTGGTTAGTTTAGCTGCAGCGGTCTGAGGGTTTGCCATTGTCTGCCACTTCTACTCCGTACCATCTGCTATGCTTGCCCAGCTCAGCTTACAGAGCACAGCAGCGTTGGGCTTTGACTTTTTCTTTCAAGGGATGGGGGGCATATTCCGACTCGTCCGCCCTGTTTGCCCGGCTCTTGCGCTGCACGACGCTGCTTCTGCATTGCATCACATCAAATGGAACCTCGCTACAACAAACACGCCATGCACTGCAGTGTCGGTTTCCTTGGCCCGCCAGGCTCAACCCTGGCAACCAGCCAGGACCGATAAAAATGGCCAGAGCAGCAACAGCGTCCACTTCACGGATTGCTGCTTGGTAACCAACGAGATAGGCACTGCATTTCTATTTGTTTCAATTTATCGGTTTTGCTCTTGTCGGCGTCCTTGTTTTGACAGTCTTCCTCTCTTCAACTTCCCTTCCTTTACCCTTGCCCAATTAGCGTGTACGTCAACATTCGGTCCGCAAGAACGGGGGATTAAGCCATTCCTTATCGCTCCGATGCAAAAAATTCATCGGCCTTTCCCCCCTTCTCTTTCGTTTCAATGCAGCCTAGCTCGGGTGGTGGCCAGACAAGGACATGACCGATCCGTCACCACTTCGAACCCCGGGCCAAGTAAGTGGAGGAAGATCCCGCGCGTGCTACGCCGGTGTCGTTGGTACCCTGTGCCTGCAACGCTTGTCCAAGGAATCAGCAAACCACTAGAGGACGGACAGGACGCACTAAATTGCCCTTTCAGGAGCTTGCTGCGGCGCAGAAATCGATGTACTGCTTCGACGCGACATGTGCAAATGCAGATACTGGTTATCCCTGGCGCTTGCTCCTTGAACAATTCTGGGCAGAGCAGCTATGAATGCTGCAGCAAAGGGTAGTTGGGGGATACGGGGTCCCTCATGTCTGCTCAATGGAAGTTATGGATACACAAAATGCTCCCCGGCGGAGCTAGCCCGGCGGGGCTAGTAAGGTAGAGCAGAGGACAGAACGGAGCCCACGAAATCTGACTGTAGGTACGTACTGTTCTCTGCTTTGGAGCCGTGTGGAAAGACGGGCGTGGGCAGAAGTACCTCGCATTTTCCAGTGTTATAGAACATGTATCTTATCACCCTAAGAGAAGACTAAATCAGGCTGACCCAAGCAATTCCTTTCTTTCTTTCTTTCTTCCGCACTCCTTCCCACCCACTCCCTTGGCCGTTGAACAACACAACCGGGAGGGGAGCGGAGCCTAGAAACGAGGCACAAGCAAGACGCAACTTGCACCGCCCATGCCGAACGACAGACTGTGGGGGCCAGGGCCGCCAACAAGCAGCAGCGGCGGCAGCAGCAGCAGCAGGAAACACAGTGCCTGTCCATTGGCAACAGGCAATAACAATTGGGAGGTGGAAGTGTCTTGCTCTCAAATCAACCCGATCAATTTAACCCAATACCAAGTCGCAGCCAGTCCAGTGCAAACCCACTTTGGGCCCGATTGCCATCCCATCCCATCGTATCGCCAATCCAGCGTCCCATCCCATCCGTCCCCTCCCGTCTCCCAACTCTCTCGTTCCCCATTTCCCACGCTATCCAGTGCCTGTGCCTAAATGCCCACCCCGTCCCATCCAATCCATCCTATCCCGTCTCTCCCACCTCTCCCGGGACACCCAGGCACCCGGGGCCGTCCTTCTTGCTTTGTGTGTGTTCCATTCTATGTGGGTGTCGACTGTCTCAGTAACTTTTGTGATGTCTCCCCCTTTGCCGGCGCCTACATTCAAGCTCCACGCCCGTCGTCCATCCCCCCCGGTCCCTTCCTCAGTTCTCCTGCCTTCCGCAGACGCCGCCCACCTGGTCTCCTCTCTCAATTCAACACGGCACACGGCCACATTGAATACGGTACAGGCGCCTGCTGTGACCGCGTGGCTCTACTCTCTCACCCTCTCTGCTTCTCTCTCCCCTTTCCGTCCATCCCATTCCATCCCAACCCTCTCGTACCTTCCCTACCCTTCCTCAACCCCCCTGGCTACCTCACCTGCCTGTGAACTATTCCCAGCTGGCAACCGCAGAGGTGTCTGTCCCCGAAACACACCACACTTCACCCACACCACACACGCCTCCCGTCACCTCACCTCACCTCATCTCTCCCCTCTCCCGCACCGTACTGCCTGAGGTACCTGATCCGCTACTTAGTACCTACCTTGACCCTTACCTTTACTTTTAGGCGCCTCCTCCAGCCATTGCCGCTCTCCACCACTTTGGCTCACCCTCCTTCTATCATCCACGTCCCTTCTTCCCTCTACCCTCTCCCTCCAATTCCCTCGTTGTTTTTCGCACCAGCGAAACTGTGTTTGTCCTACGGAAAGCCAGACAACACATCCCAACCCGTCTCCTTTTTTTCTTGTAATCCTAAAACTCGTCATCTCCTTTGACGATCACGCCCCCCCCCAAATTGCTGTCCTCCTTGGCCGACCAGTCTACGAAACACGACACCGCCTTGGTCAACCAATCCATTCGTTACATAGACAGAACTTGCTTTGCAAAACCCCTTTTCGGCAGCACTCGCAAAGTACCTCACATCAGTTGGTGTTTTGCTTGGATTTGCTGCCGCTGTTGCTACTGCATCGTCTCGCTGCTTCTTCAGGGCCTACCATTTAGCCCACTTCAGCTCTACAGGCCGTCACGACTCGACTAGCCATTCCGGGCGTCACGTTCGTTAAGCCTGCTGCGTCGAGAGAAGCCTTGGTTTCCGACCTTGCGCCACAAGGCCACGAGAAGGGAAAAGCCAGAGGAGCCCACCCGCCGCCGAATCGCTTCATTTCCCCGTCATCCCAAACCCGCCGCCCCCGATACGCTTGCCAGCGTCGAATGGGTCTGACGCCGAACGCACCCACAGACGCGCACACCTGTCGACCTGCCGCCGCACAGTAGGTGAACTGGAACAGGGTCGAAGAAAAGAAAAAAGAAGGCAGAAAAGAAGCAAAGCCAGCGGAGTGCACCCGCGCGCGATACACACACGGCTACAAGCGACACGATTGATCGAAGCCACAGACGGCGGCTGTTCCCATACGCGTAGTTGTACAAGGCCCCGAGCCCGTCTGCGTTGTCGTGAGAGCGAAAGGTGTACAGAGGGTACAGCAGGCGACCACTCGGCCAGCCCACCACTAATCCACAATTGGGCCCATCATGGCACCCATGACGCCCCGGCTCAAGATCCTCTCAGGTGCGTCTCTTTTCTTCCTGGCTTCCAGTCTTCCCGCCCGCTCCAATAATTGCTTCTTCTTGCATCAGTGCGAGGGTGTGGATCAGGTTTTTGTGTCCCTTTATCTCTACCCGTCAGCCCGGCTTTTCTCCCCCCCATCGCACCTTTCCCATCACAGACCACACTCGTTTTCCTTCCCCTCTCTTTTTTTTCCCCTATCCTCTCTCTCCATACAGGGACCGGTGCTCTCGCATCGTGTCGAGTGCAATCAGGCATGGCAGACGACAGCGAGCTAATGAAGACGTGTGTAGTGGGAGGAAACCCAGTTTCGGCCTTCCTATCGTGGAGATTACAAGCGACGAATGCTTGCGACGTTACACTGGTGTGGAAGTCGGGATTTGATCACGTCGCGCAATACGGCATCTCTTTCAAGTACGTTGTCACTCGCTGCCCAGCATTCCGCCTGCGCCTGTCTAATCAAGAAACTCTTAGGTCTCCTGTATTTGGCAACGAACGGTTCAAACCGCGACATGGTTAGTTGACGTTCTCCGAGAATAAGTGGGCATGCCTTTGCTAACATGTATGACTTCAGTTGTGCGCGTTCCCGAAGAAGCCGCGCAAGGCGGCGGTCCCTTCGACTACGTGATTCTTTGCATCAAGGCTCTCCCCGACGTTTACGACCTCGCTGCCGTGATTGATGCCGTCGTTACCCCTCAGCACACATGTATCCTCATCAACACAACCCACACCCTTGGCGTCGAGGCTGCCATCGAAGAGCGGTTTCCCACCAACGTAGTTCTGTCCCTGGTTTCCAACGCCGAACTCTCTCAGCTTGGTCAGAGCGAATTTGAGCACAAGGGCTCGACTGAAGTCTGGGTTGGGCCTTCGAGCAAGAATCAAAACATTCCGGGTGCAATTCAGGGAGACATGGCTGAGGCGCTGGCTATGACGCTGAATACTGCTCAAGTTGACTGCAAAGTGTCTCAGAACATCCGCCAGCAGCAATACGAGCGGGTCATTGGGTAAGTCTAGCACCTGCACTTCTAGTCTTGGGAGCCTAACTAACTTGGATCAGGCCTATTGCCTTCCACCCCGCCAGCGTCATATTCGAGACGTCGAGCCACGCCCAACTACTCGAAAAGGTTGGCGTACGAGACTTGGTGACTGGCGTAATCGACGAAATGCTCGCGTTGGCAGAGGCGCATGAGTGCAAATTGTCTCCCGACTTCAAGCAGAAGACGATCGACGACATGACGAAGTCCACAACCCCGGAGAGCATCATGTGGCAGGACTTCATCGCCAGACGACCGATGGAAGTTGAGACGTATTTGGGCTCCCCGATAAAGTTGGCTAAAGAGGCTCGCGTTGCTGTCCCTCGCATCGAGACGCTCTACGCCATTCTGCATAACCTCAATATCGTCAACCGTCAGAAACCGCCCAAGCCCGTCGACGCGACAATGGCGCCCCCCGGCTCGCCGACAACCCAATCGCCCCTTCCGAGAATGTCATCATCAAACGGCATCCGACCCGGCATGAACGGCAACGGCATGCCTCCCAACCGGGGGCCGCGCCCGCGAAACTCGTCAAACCTTGGCCCAGGACCCGGACCCGGCATGCGTCGACCCCCAATGAATGGAGGCCCTCCTAACGGCTTCCCTCGCGGCCCTCCTCCCCCTGGATCCCGGGCGGCTTCGAGACGGGGTTCCATGGAAGGGAACGATTTAGAAGAATTCTCCCACCTCATGCTCTACGACGACATTCCCGAGGGCGGTGAGCCTGGCTATGGTCATGGTCCTGAGGGTTCCGATTTGGCGGCACGTGAGAGGGAACTTGAGTTGCGTCAGCGGGAGCTAGCGATGAGGGAGCGAGAGATGCGCATGAGATCGAGGGGACCTCCCCCGGGACCCAGGAGAGGTCCGCACCCTATGCGCAACAGTGCCCAGGTTTTTGATGAGGAGGATGACGACGACGATTACTTCGATCCGCAATCCGGTCCTCCCCCTCCGATGATCGACCCAGACAACTTCGACATGATGAGCGTCACCTCGAGGAAGAACCGGAAAGCAGCGCCTCCGCCGACACGTGCCCAGTACCACAAGAACGAGATATACGACGCTGGAGGAGCACCTGCGGCCAGGACCTCCCGGTTCCGCCCCAACTTTGGACGCAACCGATCGAGCCAGATTGCTAGTATCCCTGGTGCGAATGAAAACATCCTGGACGATCCCCTTTTCTCATATTCGTCGAACCGATATGGTGCAGTTGACCGAGGCACGATGCAGGCGGGCTCAAGAGCGAACTCGCTGACCACCTCGCGGATGGACGAAATGCAATTGGGTGCTGGCCCTATGCCAGGAGGCGTGAATGGGGCATTCCCGCGGCGAGCTAGTCAGTCTCCTGGAAACCCGTACAGTCCTTCGATCCGCGGCGGAAGCGGCCGACCGTCCCCGCCCAATGGTTATCACGGCCCTCCCATGAATGGCCGTCCTTCGCCTCCCAACGGCATGCGTCAACCCGTGCCCCGATACCCTCCCGGCCATGGTAACGCAGTCGCGCCACAGCAGGTTGAGCAACACATCGGGGTGAGCGGTCTTGTTCCTCCACCCAAACAGAAGAACATGAGAAGTCTGACTGGTAGTGCGAGCGCCAGCGCGGGTAGTGGTGAATCTCAAAACGACACCGAGCCCTCGGCCCATAGTAGCCAGAGCAGCCTTGGACAGAGGCCACCCATAGGAGTGCGGTAAATCCTGTCAGCGAGGATGCTTCAATTGCTACATTGCATAGACGACGGCACAGCCGGCGAGACGGAACGGCATCGGCTGGCGCTGGCTCGATTCGGGGTCGAAGCGAAGACAACCACAAGCACCATTTCTACACAATCAGCAGCCCGCGGTTGTCACGTCGCATCAGTGGTCCCCAGAAAACAGTTTCTCACGGATTTCTCATATCGTTCCATGGCAACACGATAACGAAACGAAACGCTAGACAGGGTTTGGTTTTTCCTTCGCGACAAAACACATAGCTAATTCAACGACTTTTTCCTTTTTTCAAGCGGACGTTGGTCCAGTACATACATACGGCATCGTGGCGACGGGAGCAGAACCTCTTCGACTTCTGGTAATAGCAGCATTGGCGTGGGCGACCTCGATTTTTCTCGGCCGACAAGGGGATCCACAGTTGGGGTTGGAAAGTAGACAACCATGCCACAAGAGATGGGCGTCTCGGTTCGCTCAAACTCGTCAAAGGCACAGGGCTACATCAGTTTCGGACGGTGGACGGTAGTATTCAACGTTCCTTGGCCATATTGGGCGATGCAGGAAGTTGGATGTGTATAAAATGGATCGCCTATCGAGGCCTTTTTCTTTTCTTTTGTGTCTGTCCCTTACGACGAAGCTTTTCTTTTGGGCCGAGGCATGAGCACGGCTACGTTGAAGGGGATTATAAGTGACGAGCATAGACAGGGGCTGGAGGAGACTTTGATCCGGCAATACAAGGACGGGCGAGGTTACTGCATGGTCGTGGATGACGACAAGAGGTCATGCTCAGCCTGAAGCCTTTCTTCAGACAGGGGATTTTGGCTTTCGATAATTTTTAGTTTCCTGATAACGAGTGAAGGGCCACGAAGAGCGGCACGCACGGGGTTGGGGAGAGAAACAAGGATGTAAAAGTTTGAGGGGACAGGCAAGTAGGCAGCCCCTTCAGGGGCGTTCAATTGAACGCAATGGAAGTCAGACACATGCAAAACTTGGGTGAGACTCGTGATGTTTAGTTCCCGTACGTAAGCGCCTGGTTGACCCTCTGTATTAGAGAAGGGTGGCTTCGGATTAAGCTGTGTTCGTGGCTTGATGCGATACACGATGGGGCGATTCTCGGTGAAGGGTGCAGCCGCCTGGACTGTCGTCCCGGCCGAGGCTTGCGTTGTGCTCGCCGGGGCTTGGTCGGGCGCGACTAATGAGACACTAGTATGAGGTTGATCCAGTCGAGCCGGTTGATCCAGAACCCAAGACCGTTTTGACTTAGCTAGACTCGTATGTATGAGAAACACCATCCCATCAATCCCGGGGAAGAAGATGATGCACGATTGTTTGTACATTGTTGATCTCATCTCACTCGTGGAAGCAGCATTCTGTTAGTCGACCCTAGTAGGCCATCGCAGTGGGAGGAGACAGACGGCCGAGGCGAAGAACTCGCCAAGGCGGGTCAGGTGACTTTGAAATTTCCTTTGGCTGTGCTGTGTCGTGCCAGGAAGCGGAAATCGAACGGGGGGCAACACACGTCTCGCACGCGACAACTTGCAGGTGCCATCCGACATCCACCAACAACGCTGACGTCGATTCCCGCGAACTTATTCGGTATTTCATCGCTGGCGGGTAGGGGGGCGCCCAGACGACGGAGACAGCGGTTGCACAGACCATTGTTGTGCTGGGTGGGCAGCTGCCAGCTGTCAGCGCGGGAAAGCGACCGGGCGAATCAGATTCCGGCATTGTTGTTTACTTTTGGCGGGATCCACTCCCTTGTCAACGACAATCCAAACAAAAGTGAGAAACCCACCGCATGAATTAACAATCGGGTGTTAAGAACGTGAGGCCCGATAAAAAAAAGTTGGGATGACGTTGCTGAGCACACTGGCAATCGCATGAACTCTGTTTTATGAGAGCATAGAGATATCGGATGTCTAAGGAGAGTTGAGGCTCTGTCTTTTTTTCTTCTTTTTTTTGGGGGGGTCTTTCTCTGCCACATTGTTTCGCCTACGTGGACGCGACGTAATTCGGTGAGTGAGCGGCCCGTCGCCCTTCACCCCCCCCCCTTCTACCCCTCCTCGCATGCCCCCTGTCTCGGTCATTTGGTGGGCGGGCATGTGAAGGAAAATAGGAGGACTCCGGGGATCCGACTGACGTTTCACGGTAGATCACCATTTTCTTTCTTCTTCTCTGGAGCCAGCCGGATATTTGCAAGCCCGTGTTCATTCCGGAGTTACGGCAACCGCTCCGCTTGAACGGTTTGTGATACGAGCTTCTCGGGTGGAACACAGGCCGAGGGCGAGATACTACGAGTCCACCAGAGACGTCGGCCAGAGTCTGGGAGAGAGGCGCCGAGATGGCCTCGCGCAATATCAACATGACGCACACGGCGAGGCCGTCCATGTCGTCCAGCTCGGGCAACGCGATGAAGACGCGGCAGCTGGTGAGTCTTCCCGGCGCTCTGAAAGGAATGGTCTTTGCTTGTTTCCGGCTGCCGGTGGCCGTGAACCGAAACTACATGGACGAGAGCGAGAGATGAGGCGATGTTAACAACGAATCGGTGTGAACCGTTTGCTGACGTGTGGCCGAAACGTTACAGACGCATCTTCACTCGCAGCTCGCCCAGCTGTCGGCCAACCTCGCCGACACCGAGAACCTGGTTCGTATGACGAGCGTGCAGGCCGAGAGTATGCGGGGCTTGGGAGCGTGGCACGGCGGGATGTGAGTGTTTCATCTAGTTTGCTGGCGGTTCGTATGCTGACGTGCTGCAGGTTCATGGCTGCGAGTAAGGTCCTTGGGGAGGAGGCTATTAACCGTGACGCGGCGGCGCAGGCCAGAGGGGGACAGTAGTGATTGGGCATTTTGATTCCGCAGAACTTCTTCGAGTGCGCGTGGATTGCGTGCTTTACTACGGCGATGAAAGGCTAGCTGTCGCGCCGGAACGGAGGGGACCCGTCGATTGTGATGGAGAGAGATTGATACCAGGGCCGTATGGGATGTCCAGGTGGCGGTCGCCAACACAGGCAGCTAGGGCTTCAGCCAGGTTGTGTTATGAGCAATCTCGCTCGGGCGGGCCGTCCAGATGACGGATAGAGGTGTCAACGGCTTCAGAGATGAGCACGTCTGGCGGACGGGTTCTGAGAACACACTTTGCGAACCGATACGCTTGCTGGTTCTTTCCGAACTTTTAAGTATGGTTCGAGTATGATGATAAATCGAGGTATTTCTAATCTCGACTTACATCACTCGAACCGCGATCGATGTGGCGATGAATGGTTTATAGTCTAACTATGCTCTTCATACCGCGATGCATCATTTTGTCTTGTTCCATGTGCATAAATTGTCGTTGCTGACACTTGCTCCCCCGTGGGTCATATCAGCCCCGAACCCCTAAGAAGAGGTGAGAGATTCTGCGTCAAAAATGGTCTAGGACTGAAATCAGAGTTTGGCTCAGCTGGGGAGTGTCGAGTCGACTTTGGTGACTATAGGTTAGTCTGCAGTTGAGCTTTTCAACAATGAAGGGTCTTGATGCCGTCAGCCGCATTTATACTCAAGCAGAGCATAGTTGGCTTTTGCCTTAGACACAGCCATACACGTATACCCACAAGAGAACTTGGAATCCTGTCCGCTATCCTATAGGTAAGTTAGTGAGAGAAACAGACTAGACCTATGAGTCCTTACATGGGGATATTGCCTGAAACGTTTCGTGGACAAAGCTTCCACAGGCAGACCGCTAACTCTTACCCTAGCTCATCCGGACAGCAGCGATGTGATCCGGCTTCTACTTGCCGGGGCCCAATCTCTTCTGGTGTCCTGAGTTCATACTACCTCGCAGCCGCCGCGTCCCTGAACGACTATCTAGCTTGCTCAAGACTCACTCGATGAGGCCGGCGTCAGCGGTGTATCCGTACTCAGGTGCAGGTTGATGCTGACCTATAGCATGTTGCAACCGTTCCAGCTATAGGTACTCTTGCTGAAGGAATCAAGCTTCTCCAACGTCAAACTGTAAGAAGCGACACTCAAGAGAAGGCTGTCTTCTGACTCTATTTTATGAACATAGCACAATCCATTGCTTTTCGTCTTAGGAGTGAAGTATGGAAGAGCCGCAGGTGCTGTACGTTTCAAAACCGGCCTTGAAGATTCTGCGGTGCTCTACTCCGGCCTAGCACTGTTGTTGGCGTTGATCTTGACCGCCTTGCGGTCAGCCTGAGTTGCGGTCCGAGACTTGGTTAGATATTTTCTATCCTGGGTGGTCCGATATGTCATCTTTGCCGACGCGGTCTTATTTAAGTCGGCGTTGACTTCTGGGATCTTTAACGGGATCCGGGGTAAGATCTTGACCCACCTTAAGCCAGGAAACGCATTGATCATCGCTCTAAACACAGACGGCATTATGGGAACACATGTGTATTGCGTTTTCTCCTTTGGGTCTTGGAAGCGGGTGAGAAACTTATTTACACCCCTCCTAACGTTATTTGTTCTTGCAGAGTGCTCTTACAAGGGCTCGTGAGTGATAAAGCAGGGGACCACGACTCTTGCTTGATCAAGGGCATCACCACCCCGCAGAAAAGGTATTCCAGCAAGACCAAGGTAACTAGCTTGATTTGGGAGACAATATCATAATCAAGACTATTGAAGCTCAGTACGCCCCTACCCATAGTCTAGACCCTTTGGTCCTGCTCTAGATGCTGAGCGTTGCAGTGTAGCCTTGCTCTGCCAGAGAGTGGCGCAATGTAGATACTGTTGGACCCTGTATGAGTGATGTGATTTGCCTATCCCGTTCATGCCTGACAGCAGGCCCTTCATCCAGGTGATCGGTGATCGACGGGAAAAGAAATATCATAGGCATTTGACCTCAATAATCGAGACCGAGGCGAAGATGAAGAGGATACTCGACTGGTCACCCTTGGATCTTTCACAGGCTTCCATACACCCGCAAGAGTCTTTTTGTAGCGACCTAGGACTTCTGCCTGGGTGTTGAGTGAAGTTTATTAATGACACCGTCCGGTAACCACCTTCGAACACATCGTGCGCTCTCCCGCCCCTTACCTTCACGCAACTTCTTTCGTTACGTTTCCTCAATTACGTTTGCGCCGCGGGCCGAGTCGCCCTCTAGATATCTTCGCGTGGTTAGGCAGACCTGCATGAGCGCACAGCCCGCACCTGCAAAGGCCAAGGCTGTACACTGTATGCACCAGGCTGCTGACCGGAGTGGATACAATCGTCCGCAATATCACGCGCATAACCAAGATGGATCTGGCCACCCAGATAGGTCGATTTAATGTCACGTGCATCCGACCCCGCGAATACCGAGATGTAAGCCTCCTCACATCGAAATCCTTTCCAGATTTCCAGCGCCTCGGCGGACCATCTTGAATCGACTCATTTTCTAGCAGCCATGTTCGATCCCTTATCTGTGGCTGGAAGTGCCGTGGGAATCATTTCCCTTGGGCTCCAGGTTACGCAGTCACTGTACAACTACTACGCTGCTCTCAGTTCCCAAAACTCGGACATCGCTCACACGACGCACAAGCTGGAGAACTTGCTGGAGATGCTTAACTCCCTGCAGGCCCACCTTGATAGCCGCAAGATCAAAGTTGGCGAAGCAAATATGCTTAATACCATTAAGTCTACTATCCAGCAATGTGGAGAATGCATCCAGGAGCTCGACGAAGAGTCGCAAAAGTTCAAGAAGATGCCGGTGGATAGCGTTCGCACCGCTATTCGAGTGACAAGCCGTCGACTCGCGTACCCGTTTCGGCAAAGCACGCTGCAGAAGTTGGATGAAGACATCGATGAACTAGTCACTCACCTGTCACTGGCTTTGCAGCTCTTACAACAAGAAGACATCGACCACGTTCAGAACGAAATAGAGAATACTAGAGCGGTTCTGGATTTGGTCAGGGCTTCCCAGATCTCCTCTCAAATCCAGGATTGGCTCAAGGCGCCCGATGCCTCCATTGACTTCAACGATGCTTGTAGCAAGAAGCACCCAGGTACTGGTCTGTGGTTTGTTAAAAGCTCTTCTTTCACCACCTGGCTCGAACTTCCCAGATCCTTCCTTTGGCTGAAGGGTTTTGCCGGGTGCGGAAAATCCGTTCTATGCTCGACTGCGATTCAGCATACCTTTCGCCACCGGAGGTCCAATCCACAAATCGGTATCGCGTTCTTTTTCTTCACCTTCAATGATGGGAACAAACAGAATACATCTGCGATGCTTCGAGCGCTCGTGATGCAGCTGTCGAGCCAGCTTGGCGGTAAACACACTGCTCTCACGCGATTGTACGAAAGCTACCGCAACACCACGCCACCAGATCAGGCCCTTCTGGAGTGTCTACACCAGCTTGTACGCGCTTTCCGCGACGTCTATATCGTCATCGATGCACTAGATGAGAGCGCGAGGGATGAAAATCGAGACGCGATGCTCCAATCGCTGAACGACATCCGTGGTTGGTCAGAGTCAGGGCTACATCTTCTTGTGACGAGCCGGGACGAAGTCGACATCCGCGACGCACTTGAAGCAGCGCCAGAAGAGGCCGTGGTCATGAGAAACGACGGCATTGATGAGGACATAGCCAAATTCGTCTCGCAACATCTCCGAGAAAATCGACGTCTTCGAAAGTGGCAAGAATACCATGGTAGAATCGAGCAGGTGCTGATCGAGAAGGCAAAGGGCGTGTAGGTTTTCCGCAATCGACCCGCTTCACCATCACTAATATTATCACAGGTTTCGATGGGTGGAATGTCAGTTCAAAGCACTAGCTAATTGCCCCAGAAGCGAGGATCTCCTCGAGCAGCGGCTCCAGTCGCTGCCACGGACATTGGACGAGACCTATGAACGCATGTTACGAAACATCCCAGCCGAGTCCAGAGAATATGCCCAACAAATGCTGATGATTCTCTGCTGTGCTGTAAGGCCGTTGACTGCCTCAGAGCTCATCGATGCCATAGCCGTTGAGGTGGGCGCCACACCCAGTTTCAACGCGAAGCGCAAACTTGGAAACGTAGACGACCTCCAACAGCTATGTCCAGGTTTTACGGAATGCGATGTGCACCGTGATTCAAAATCAGTCACTGTGCGTATTGCGCATTTCTCCGTCCAGGAATATCTCGAGTCGGAGCGGATTCATACACAAAAGGATGTCTCCTTCTTCAGCGTCCAGAGACAAGAAGCCAATACGCTAATGGCTGTTATATGCTTAACACTGCTATTGGAACCACAAGTATGCACTATGGAGTCTTCAATCGTTCGAGATCATTATCCGCTTGCGGAGTACGCTGCCCAACAATGGCCTCGTCACTACCAGAAGAGCAGCCAAGAAGGGTTGGCTTTTTCACAAGCCGTGCGACTGTTCCAGGAAGCCGCGTTCCAGGCTTGGGTTACCATTTGGGATATTGATAAACGTGACGGGAAGAAAAGGAGTGAGGATACACCATCTCCCTTATACCACGCATCACTGCTCGGACTTCGTCCTGTGCTATGCATTCTTTTCAAAGAGAACTTATCAAATGGTTCTTCAGCGTTGATGACTCAGCCGCTTTCCTACAGCATTGATGCTCGATATGGAGACCTCGGCACGGCAATCGAAGCAGCATCTTGTAACGGCCACCAGCAAACCGTGCAGCTGCTTCTTGACAACGGCGCTGATGTTAACGCCCAAGGCGGACACTATGGAACAGCACTCGCAGCAGCATCATGTAGAGGCGAAAAGGAGATCGTGCAGCTGCTTCTTGACAATGGCGCCGATATTAACGTCCGAGGCGGACAATATGGAACAGCACTCGTAGCAGCATCATTTAGAGGCAGAAAGGAGATCGTGCAGCTGCTTCTTGACAACGGCGCTGATGTTAACGCCCAAGTTAATGGGACAGCACTCGCAGTAGCATCACTTGGAGGCCATAAGGAGGTTGTGCAGCTGCTTCTTGACAACGGCGCTGATGTTAGCAACCAAAGCAGACGCTACCAAACAGCACTTATAACAGCGTCAAGTGAAGGCCATAAGGAGGTTGTGCAGCTGCTTCTTGACAAAGGCGCCGATGTCGACGCCCAAGGCAGATTCAATGAAACAGCACTTGTAACAGCATCATGCGGAGGCCATAAGGAGGTTGTGCAGCTGCTTCTTGACAACGGCGCTGATATCGACGCCCAGGACGGACGCTACAAAACAGCACTCGTAGCAGCATCAGATGGAGGCATTGAGGAGATTGTGCAGCTGCTTCTTGACAACGGCGCTGATGTCGACGCCCAGGACGGACGCTACAAAACAGCACTTATAACAGCATCATGTGAAGGCGAAAAGGAGATCGTGCAGCTACTTCTCGAGAAGGGAGCCAATGCTACCATCGCAGATAACGAAGGACAGACACCAATGCATTTGGCCTCGGCTCATGGACATTGTGACGTGTTACAATTGCTCCTGAGAGCCCTAGACATCAACGTCAACAGGGCAGACAAGTTCTCTCGCACAGCTCTGTTTGTAGCGTCCAGATTCGGGCATCACGCCACAGTGCAACTCTTGCTGGACGATAGCCGAGTTCTCTCCACACCCACAGACTGGTACGGCTCAACGCCGTTGTTCACTGCTGTTAGGAACGGCCACCTCAAAGTGGTTGAGGTTTTGCTCGCTCATGGAGCTTTGGATGCCGGTACTCAAGCGCAAGACGGCTTCGGGCGGACTTTGCAATGGTGGGCGCGTCGAACTGCAAATTCTGGGATTTTAGAGGTCCTGGAGAAGCATGCCGATCGACTTGGCACCCGTGTTCACGAAACCGCCCCCATTGAAGCTTTTCCTGTTAGTTTTGATCCCGAAGGCAATTGGTGTGATGCTTGTACGCGGACTATTCCGTATGGTCAGAAAAGAGGCTGTGATGGGTGGGATATTGATCTGTGCGGCGAGTGCTTCGAATTGGGCGTTAGGTGCCCGGACGAGACGCATACAATGTTGAAATAAAATGACATTGGGCTTCCAGCATTTCACTTAGGACGGACGATATTGTTGCCGCACTTAGCTGCTAAAGGATTTCATAACCAAGTGCCCCTTCACTACCTCTCCGTTTAGGCTTTTGTCCAAGTGTCGGTATAAATGTGTTTGATTGATTGGGTCGTCATTCTTATCATCTACTCGCTGGCATCCTGATTTCTGACATTATCCTCGTGGAGGGAATGAACACCAATTAGGTGGTGGTTTCATGTCATGATCCTGTTTTGCTGTATCAAGAGTATATTAATTTTGCTTGTTCGCCTTCATGATAATGGGAGGTGATGAGGCATGATGATCGCACCCAATACAGTCGGCGCGTCTTGTAGATCTTCCACCATCCAACCATGCGCTACTCAAGGGTATCAGTATAAAATACTCATGATGTTCAATCGATTTGTTGTAGAAGCACGATATGGACGGGGAGGCTGATCTTGAAGCAACAACAAATATGTACAACTGTGAGCGAGTAAGACATGGGGATTCAAGTCAACAAAGGTGGAACTAATGCCTTACTCGCGATGTTGATTCTCTCTACGTAAGGATCACTCGTCTGGGAAACAAGTAGAAGTAGTGAGTCTATATTAATCAAGAGAATGCTGTCGTAACCTAACCATTCCAATCATACATCATTAGCCTAGCAAAACAACGGTTGCAGGGTAGGCCAGAAATAAAAGTAAATCAGGGCCAGCACAAGCCCGACCGAAAGGATGGCAACCTCCTCAGATCCAAAGTGGTATCCATATCGTACGTTGTCCAACTTCTTGTTTCCTGGTGACTGGCTCTGCGGCTTCAGAATGCCATCAAACCCTCTGGCCCACGGCACTTGCAACCCCCGGTCGTCGAGGATCTGTTCTGCTGTGATCTTCGCGCCGGCCATCACAATGGGCACGCCCGTGCCGGGGTGCGTGCTGGCGCCCACAAAGTAGGCGTTCTCCAGACCCTCGGCGCGAGTCCGCGGGCGGAATGCGAGAACGTTGAAGATGCCGTGCGTCAGGCCCAGAATGGCGCCCTTGTCGAGGTTGAACTTGTCCTCCCACGTCAGGGGCGTGTTGACGGTCTCATGCGTGATGAAGTCGGTCAGCGGCGCGCAGCCCGTCCGGGCACTGACGATCTCAATGACAGCGGCGCGGGCGCGGTTCACAATGTCTTCCCAATGCTTGGGATCGTTCGTCAGCCCAGATTCACCCTTGGACTCAGCGAGGTGGCCGACGGGGACGAGGACAATGACGGTGTCCTTGCCCTCGGGGGCCGCCGAGGGATCGATTCTGCTAGGGACGTTCAAGTAAAAACTGGGCTGGTCGGGCAGAGAGTGGCGCTTGAAAATGGCGTCGAAGGACTCGCGGTACTCCTCGGCGAGGAAGATGTTGTGGACGGATAGCTCGGGAATCTTGCGGTCCATGCACCAGTAGAAGGAGATGGAACTACAGCTGGCCTCGCGCTTGCGGAGGGACTTTGTGTAGTCTGTGATGGTTGGCGTCTTGGGGAGGAGGTTGCCGTAGGCGTAGACCAGATCGGCGTTCACCACCACGACGTCTGCGGAGAGGGATTCTCCCGATTCTAGCTCGACGCCCGTCGCCTTGTGTCCGTCTGTCAGGACACGGGATACTGGCGTGTTGAGGCGGTACTTGACGCCCATCTTCTCCCCAATGCGTACCAATGCTGCCACGACCTGATGGAAACCGCCCCTCGGGTACCAGATTCCCTCGGCGAATTCAGTGTACTGGAGGAGGGAGTATGTCGCCGGCGCGTCAAAGGGCGACATGCCCATGTACATGACGGCGAATGTAAATACTCTCCTCAGCCTCTCGGTCCAGAAGTACCTGCTCGCGCGGCTCCAGATGCTCTCCAACGGGTGCAGGTTCACAACATGCCTCACAAATCCGGGCCTCGCCAGGTCAACAAACTTGCTGAAATTCCGGTGAAGCACATCCTTAACGGAGATCTCGTAATGGGTGTGCGCCTCCCTGAGCCACTTGAGATAGCGTTCGAAGCCGTCCTTGCCCTCCCAGCGCTCGATCTGGGTCTTCATGGCCGCGAGGTCGGACGAGTGCTTGAAGAGCTCGCCGTCGTGGAACCAAATGTTGTAGTTCGTCTCGCAGCGCAGCAAATCGACGCCTGCGTCGGCGAGGGTGGTGTCGAGGTCCCTGAAGGTCTCGTGGAAGAGCTGCGGCAGGAGGAAAAGCGACGGCCCCTGGTCGAAGCGATGACCGTCCTGGAACATGAGGGAGCACCGGCCGCCTGTGAAGGAATTCTTCTCGAGGACGGTAACGGCGAAGCCCGCCTTTGCGAGGCGGGCGGCGAGGGCCACGCCGCCGGCGCCGGCGCCGATGACGATGGCCGTCTTGGGCTTCTCGCCGAGTTGAGACATCGTATGTGAGGTGAGGCTTTGATCTACTGGGACGGCGAGGCTAGATTTGGGGTAGACAAGAGGTGATCGTCGTGAAAATTATACAGACGAGATGAATGAGATAGAGCGCCCAATGAGAGTCTCACCAACACAACATGAGAGAGATTTTGGAACGAAGGAAGGGGAGCACAGAGGTAGGAAAGCTTCGATTGACATTCATACGAGATAATTGTCCCGTCATTCCAGCAAGCATGTGAAGAGGGACAGCCAGTCAAGTTCCCCTCGCATGCCAACCGGTCCACAAAATCAACGGAGCGGCGGGTGCAAGGGGGGCGTGGGAATCGCACGAGGAAGAGCTCCGCACCGGCGGATTCGGGTGAGTGATGACACCACGACTCGGAGGAGGCTCACGGCGGACGAACGTTGGAGATTGGCAGATGGCGCACACACGGATGCTACGCACACCAATCATTCCCGAGCACCCAAAAAGGACAAAAGTATCATACGCTCTTGGAGTAGGGCAGATGGCGGCGGCCAAAGCAAGGGGCGCGCGCAAGTAGCTGAAGTTTCCACGTACGCAAAGAGCTTGGCATGCAGGCATACGCACCAGGGAAAAAAGTACAAATTAGTCTTTATATATCGGCATCGTGTTCGCAAATCGATCGCTTGTTCGTTCCATCGGAAATGTTTCCTATCCGTATGGTAATATCACGGACACGGACATTTGCAGCGTCTTTTCTGTCCACCGGTATCTGTAAATTGATGCAAAAGGCTATCAATCGATGTAATGAATCACCATCAGTTTGATTAGGCAGTCCGGCTTCTAAACAATCCCCCCGGTGCTCCGGCAATCCCAAGGGACATTCCATCTGACGACCAAAGGCAATCCGGCATCCCACCTTGTCTTAGTCCTCTTCTCACCACGTTTTACGCATGGCCTTAAGGAAACATTGGTACCTAACATGTAGTGCAAGTCCCATTTCACCAGACGCGCGCGCCAGCTCCCCTTCGAATCCCTGATCCGATCAAAACCTGGGTCTGGGTTGGCGTATGCAAAATCCCATGTTGGGACGCGCATGTGGTCGTCATAGACTTTTATTCCCCTCGGGCATCGGCCAACCAACCACGCCGGCCGGTCGCATGTTCAGCCACCTCGAATTCGTACACGCTGCATGTCGCTGCAAAACTGCTGCACCTCAATCCTCGACAATCCCATCCCAGCGCATCCCTACCTTAGTTTTTCTTCTCAAGGTACCACACACCCCGCCCCACGGCCGAATCGGGAAAGAAGCTCTATCGCAAGCGCCCCCTCCTCCTCTAATGCACCTCGCGTACCTGGGCTTCTCAGAGGTACTTGTCGTCTGGAATCTCTGGAATTTCCAAACTCCCAAATGTCCGAGCCCCGAGAAACTGAGGAAGAAACGGCAAACATCAGGCGGAGCAACACTCCGCAAGACAGCACTAGTCCGAATTGCACTTCCCCTTGACTCGGGACAATTCACAACTCCTCCCACTGGAACTGGCCGATCGCCCTTTGCCTTTCATCCCGTCCAGCGCCGTTGCGTGGCTCAAAGGTACCTCGCCATGCATGAACGGTGGGCAATTCTCCGTCGTACCTTTGGACGGCAAGACAGATAAAAGATGACAACAAAACGGGCAACATACCCGGACGCCTTCTTTTACATAGTACAGCGCCGTCGCGTGGGGTCTTTACACTGGGTCGCTTCACTTGCACACTCATACGCTAACTTGTTCGTCATAATTGCGTCGACACCCAACTGGGACCAAAATACATACAGCTTGCGTTCTCACCTCACACGCCCCGAGGTGCTATCTCGAGTGAGACGCTAGCGCCCTGGCAGCAAGAGACCAGCTTGCCTGCCGCCTGGAACGCTCCTGCCGACTCGGCTTTGACAGCCTGTCACGGAGAGAACGAATGCACGGCTGTGGCCGCTAAAAGACGACCCTCATATTCCCCCCCAAACTTTGCAGCAGCTTCACACTCTTTTTCTTGCCCTTAATGAGATTTTGCTCATCGTCGTGAACTTCTTGGCTTTTTGGCTTTTTTCAGAAGGCAGACCTCTCACGATGGGTTACGACTACGCGCTGGTGTAAGTGGTTTCCCTTATCGCGGCGTTTCCAGACTCACTCACTAACCCTTGCCAGGCACGTCAAGTACACCATCCCTTTGGCTGCACTGCTCACTTTCCTCTCATATCCCGTCTTCACGCGCCTCGACGTTGTGAGAACCCTCTTCATTGTCACCATCGCCTTCGTGGCCACGATTCCCTGGGACTCCTACCTTATCAGAACTGGCGTTTGGACCTACCCTCCGGACGCAGTCCTGGGGCCGACCCTCTACGACATCCCTGCCGAGGAGCTCTTCTTCTTCGTTATCCAGACCTACATCACTGCCCAGCTCTACATCATCCTCAACAAACCTGTCCTCCATGCGCAATACCTCAACTCGCCTGCCACGTTACCGCAATGGATCAAGAATGGAAAAGTCGTCGGCCAGCTTGCGCTCTTCGGCAGTGTCATTCTTGGCGCCTGGCTCATCGCCAAGGAGGGCGAGGGAACCTACCTGGGTCTGATCCTGGTGTGGGCTTGCACTTTTGCTCTCTTTACCTGGACAATCACTGCGCACTTCCTCTTGGCCCTGCCATTGGCATGCACTGCCCTGCCCATCCTCCTCCCCACGATTTACCTCTGGGTTGTCGATGAGATGGCGTTGGGACGTGGCACCTGGGCCATTGAGAGCGGCACAAAGCTGGAGCTCCAACTCTTTGGTAGTCTCGAAATCGAGGAGGCCACCTTCTTCCTGGTCACCAACATGCTCATTGTCTTTGGCGTTGCTGCCTTTGACAAGGCCGTTGCTGTCTGCGATGCTTTCCCCGACAAGTTCGACGAGCCGGCCGACGCTTTGTGTATGTCGTTGTTGCGCGCTCGCGTGTTCCCCTCCTCAAAGTACGACATGCAGCGCATCCTGGGCATTCGGCAAGCTGTGGTCCGATTGGCCAAGAAGAGCCGCAGCTTTCACCTCGCCAGCTCTGTCTTTCCTGGTCGCCTACGCATTGACTTGACTCTGCTGTAAGTGCCCAAACACCGAGACTGCTGCGGTCACTGCTAATCAGGCATTAGTTACTCTTACTGCCGCCTGGCCGACGACCTCGTCGACGACGCCAAAACCCCCGAAGAGGCGGCTTCCTGGATCTCCAAGCTCGACCGCCACCTCAGCCTCCTCTATAAAGACCCTGACGCGACCTCGGCGCCCCTTGCCTCCAAATACGCCGCCGAGAACTTCCCCCCATCCGCTCTCTCGGCCCTCGACCTGCTCCCGGCCTCCCTCCTCCCGCGCGAACCTCTCGCCGAGCTTCTCAAGGGCTTTGAGATGGATCTTTCCTTCAGCAACTCCACCTTTCCCATAACCGACCCTGAGGACCTCGAGCTCTACGCCGCCCGTGTCGCCAGCACTGTCGGTCAGGCCTGCCTCGAGCTCGTCTTCCGCCACTGTCAACATGGACTGCCCGACTATATGCAGGCGTACCTCCGTAACACAGCGCGCCAGATGGGACTCGCTTTGCAGTTCGTCAACATCGCGCGCGACGTTGCCGTAGATGCAAAGATCGGTCGCGTCTACCTCCCTACCTCGTGGCTCAAGGAGGAGGGTCTGACGCCGCAGGATGTCCTCAACAGCCCCAACAGCGAGGGCGTCGGAAAGGTGCGCCGCAGAATCCTCGCCAAGGCTTTCGACCACTACGGCGAGGCCAGAGACTCGATGAAGTGGATTCCCTCAGAGGCGCGCGGCCCCATGGTCGTGGCCGTGGAAAGCTATATGGAGATTGGCCGGGTTCTGATGCGCAACGGCGGCGCGGCGGCGGACGGTAGCGGGCGGGCCACAGTGCCCAAGTCGAGACGCATTTGGGTCGCTTGGAGCACGTTGATGGCTGCTTAGCCGGATCTTGCTCAGCTTGGGCCTCGGCGTGGGAGGCTGCTCATGTTTTGATTCTTCTTCTTCCCTTCCTCTTTCAATCCCCTCTCTTGCTCCCCCCGATTGGCATTTTCTAGAGGCATTACGATAGACAGCGTGGCGTCCACATGATGATAGCAGTATGAAAAAAGAGTTATGACCACGATTTTCCTAGTTAAACATCTGTTCTCGAATGCAAAATTGGTGATTCAACGTGTTAATGCCGTACGGAGTATTCTCCATGGAGATCGGTTCGTCCGATTAATCGTTGTAGCGGTGACATCACGGCCTAAGCTGCGGAGCTATGTAAGCGTATGGCCCGTGCGCGCCCGTCCAGGGGGTGAGTTGCCAGAGTGGCCAAAGCTCTGGGCGAAGACACCGATGCGACCGGCGTGAACCCTCACCGAGCCCCGGCCCGAAGAGGATAGGTCTCCACCAAAATTTGAACGACTTCGCACATTGAACCGCCCGGGTTGTTCGCATCACCATCGCGCCGAACCAGCCCCCGCAACGTAATTGAGCCAGCGCGCGCGGCCCTGACCCTCCCACGACCCGAATGACCCGATAGACGCCGACAGCGACCGCCGAAATGATACCCAGAACGACGGCCCGCCGCGTCCTTCGGGACCTGGCCTCCCACCGCGCATCGCGCCCTCTGGCCTCCTTCTACCCCGCGACCCTGCGCCCCTTCACATCGACGCCCTTGTCCCGCCTGAAGGCTGGGAGACCACCAATGGTCCCGGCCTCCCCGCCTCCGCCCTCGTCCGCCCAGCAAGCCGCCGCCGCGAACGCTGCCCTCTCGAATCTCTCCCATCTGACCCCGGCGCAGATCACAGCCCTCCTCTCGACATCACCGCCCTCGGGCGGCGTCCCCGGCGCCCCCCACCCCCCGGACAACAGCCCACGCCCTCCCGCCGCTCGACCCTCGTTCGCCGCGCCCTCTGGGCCCTGTTCTTCTTCGCCCTCGGCTACAAGCTCACCGCCGACCAGATCTCGGAACTGCGCCTCGCCACCCCCTTCATCCACCCGCCGGTCGAGATCAAGGACCCGGAAGAGATCCCTCTCTACCGCGTCCAGGCCACCTTCGCGGCCATCGAGCAGTACCCGATCCTGCAGTCCATGTTCCCGACCGTCAACGAGGCCGGCACGTCGTCCCTGCCCTCGGACTGGGAGAACTGGGAGCCCTACCGCGACTTTCCGCCCGAGACGCTGTCCAAGCACCTCTGCGGCGGCACGCTCAACAACCCCAACGCCCTGGGCCTCGTCCACATGGTCTTCCGGCACCAGTACACGGGCGAGCTGATCCTCGCCATCATGTTCGGCCAGGGCACCTCGGGCTGGCCCTCGGTCGTGCACGGCGGCATGCTCTCGACCATCATGGACGAGGCCATGGGCCGCCTCGCCGCCCTCAACTTCCCCGCCAACACGGCCGTCACGGCCAAGCTGTCGGTAGACTTCAAGGTCCCCGTCACGCCCGGCCTGCTGTACATTGTGCGCGTCGGCAAGGCGCTGCCCGAGTTCCAGAAGGAGCACCCGGACGAGGAGGACAAGTCGGACCGCAAGATGTGGGTCGTCGGGCGCATGGAGGGCCCGGAGGGCGAGACGGTTTGCGAGGCCAAGGGCCTGTTCGTCGTGCCCAAGGGCGACCAGGTGAAGCCCTTGGGAAAGATGTTTTAGTGTAGAGGGAGCGGGGAGTCGCGGGCTGGGGTTGCAGGAGGGACGGACCTGAAGGAGCAAGAGAGGGAGGGGGTTGTCGCATCACACGGCGTTACGGAGGCGATTGCCGGTAGTTTTAGATCACATAAATGTGTTTGTTTGTATGGATATATAGAGGTCACCTGATGGTGGCATGTGTCGATATGCGGCAATGTAGAAAAGGATGATTGTGATAGCCACTCAAAGTTGATATTTTGTCAATTCGTTTACAGCATGAGATCGAGGCTAACCCGCCGAAATGGATGCCAACGACTGCGCCGTCGTGAAGATTAGAGCACAGTCGATCGTGCCCATTTGGCTTGGCGTGGCCTCAGACTTCAACTTCCAAGTTCACTCTTCACGCCATGTTCCAGGAAATCTGCCTTCCACCATTCCGCGTCCAAGTATCTTCCGACTGTCTCCCTTGCCCTTCCACCTTCATCCACACAGTCGTCTGCAGAATCTTCTCGTCTCCTTTATACACAGTCCTTCAACCTTTGTTCGACGTCGTCACCGCAAAGCCCCTTCACCCAGCTTTCACTACATAATACACCATTCGCCCTGCCATCAGTTCACCTGCACACGAATCCATTCATCGGATTTCACCTTCTGCTCTCAAGGGTTTCGTAAGCTAGGCACTAGCATATTCTTCACTTACCCGTCGTCAGCCTTAAGTCTTATTGCCTTCCTCTCTCCCACCCACTCGAGCGTTTCCCCCAGCTTCATTTGTCCTCTTCAGTGCTTTTCAGCACCATACTGGACCACCTTGACAGACACCCTCAGCCCAACAACGCCAAGATGCCGATCGCTGTCACAGTGACTGAGGAAGGTTGGATCAACCAGGTACTTAACCAAGTACGTATTTCTTTCCCTGAAGCCATTCGACTTGATCATGCGCATGTGGTCACGCTGCTAGAAATTCAACGATATCAAAAAGCAGCTTCATGGTCGAAGCCTCGCGGAATGCTACCAGGCTCTGATCGCCTTCCGGGACGCGGCTAGTCTCCTTGCTGATGCCGTCGCAAAGGAAGTCCCTGGCCTCGTCGCTAACTCTGATTTTGCGGACAATACCTCGGCCGCGAGACCCACGGAGGACGCGTCCTCGTCGTCGGCCAGAGACCTGGTCGATGCCGACATTCCATTCAGCATCAAAAACAACTACACTTTGGGCAAGCTAGTCTCTATTGCCAACGCGGTCAAGAATGATCTGCTCAACTCTACAATTTGGGTCACAATCAACAATCGTCTCCAGGAAAAGTCATTGGAGTCCAACGCCTTTGCACTTGCAGAGCTATTCTTCAGCTCTTTCCTCGAGAAGTCATTGAACGCCACGACGGGGGGATGTCTCGCCACCTGTCCGAAAACATGCACGATACTGTCATCGCCAAGATCATGCATGGAGAGACCATTGAGATTGTTGGCAAGATGACCATGGGTATCTCTGTCGAGACGATGCTTATTGCAGCGGGAGCCGGACACAAATAGTCAAGTACCTCGCACGGCACGCTCAACACATTACTGTACGAATCCCATGTTTCCATTTCATGATCGCTGTCACTGCAGAATCTCAGCTAACCCATGCGAGCAGAGTCCTCAGGCCACCGCCTACGAACAAGGAACCTGAGATGCCCGGGCCCGTCGCCGCCAACCAGGTGCTGGCCGATGCTGCCAATGGAGACTTTTGGATCAAATGCGCCTAGGCATACTACTTGCCCCTTCATGAACAATATGGGAAAGAGACTCGTGCCTCAGCGTTACTTTGGCTGAATGACAATGGCGACGCTTTGTTTATTGAGTTTTGGCTTCAGTTGAGGGCGCCGGACCACGCAGCATTGCAACCACAATCAATGGAGGTTTGCACCTGTTAGTCTGTGATTGGGAGAACCATGTATGAGCAAAAACCGCTACTGTACATGACCAAATAAGTAGACCGCTAGCCCGAACCTGAATATTTGTTCGCTGATACGCCGTTTTCAAGGCGATGTGGGTTTTGACAGGATACAGCCGCTCAACGCACTGCGGAAGCGGCCACGGAACACCAGCGAGTGGCGAACATCCTCAAGACCTCGGATCCAGGTTGTCCACTAAAACGCTCGAATGGAACAGCTTTGTTTTCGATTTGAGGAGTCGCCCTTGGAAGGTCCGATGATAATCATGGTTGAGGTCTGCACTCGTTGCTAAGACGTCGAAGACGCATTCCGGGGACGATAGCCTAGAGAGAGAGACGCAGTGTACGTGCCAGCAGGCCCACAAGCTCGTTGGCCGATATGAATCTTTATAGTTCCATCGCAATGGAGGCCTTGAGAAGACATGAATCTGTCTCGCTCCAGCATCTGAAAACAAGTCTTGCCGCTGAGACGGGAGCGCATCAAGCGCTAACTTCGTCTGTAGAAGATGCAACATTAAGTTCCTCATCCAATCACCATCTGCCTGGCTCGTTTTTGACGAAGAACCAGGAGAGCGATTTCGTCCACCATCACTTGCCGTTGTCCTTCTCGTCGAGCGTATGCGAGCTGAAGGGCCAAGTGAGACGTAGCAGTATTATCATCGAAGAACAGAAGTGGAGGAATATCGTGATATTCTGTGGTCGACCTCAGCCCAGGATTATCCCTGGACCCAGGAAGCTTATACACACGTCTGGGTATCATCTGCCAGTTTTGGTAGAGAAGAGTAGCGCGAGAAGATGCTACCAATATCCGGCGTGATCGTCTGTGGTCATAGTTTCAGATCGACCACTCACTTACGAGATCGGGCCGGATCCCGTGGTTGTCCATTGCGGGCGAGGCTGGCCATTAGGATGACTGTTGGGTTGAGCGTTCGGAACGTAGTACGAGTTGTTGAACCCTCCTCCTCTGCCACCGAAGCTTCCGCGTCCTCCCCGGTAGCCGCCACCGCGTCCACCACGCCCACCGCGATATCCGCCACGGAAGTCACCACGATAGCCGGTGTTGGTGCGGTACCCCTGCGGTCCATGAGGTGGCGACCTGGACGATGAGTGACTTGTAGATCCTTGGTCGGAGGCACTGTTTTGCGGACCAAAGCCTCCTGAAGAACCTCCTATAGCAGATGGCGGCCCCCGGGGCCCTCCACCGTTGGGCCCGCTCTGACTCGAGTTGCCTCTTCCTCTCCGGCGATTGTTGTATTGCCGACGACCAGTTTTGGGCTTCCCTTCCACCGAAAACTCGATTTTCTTGATGGGATCTGTAACCAGAATGCTTTTGCTGAGACCCAGACGCTCCAATTCTTCTTCGGGTGTAGTCCATAGTTGGAAGACATTCTCGAGTTTTTCGATCTCGCGTGTTTCGACCACCCAAGCCTTGACATACTCTCCAGCCTTGTCATAATCAAAAGCTTGCTTAACTGGGTTAAAGATTCTATTGTCTCCGCGAGGATCGTTGCCAACTCCAGCGACATACTGCCAATTGGACCAATTGGAGCTGACGTCGTAATCGACAAGGAGATATTCGTACCATTCCGCACCATAACGCCAGTCGATGCCGAGATGTTTGGTCAAGAACGAGGCAACATTCTGCCTTGCCCGGTTGGACGTGTAACCTGTGTGATAGAGCTCTCGTTGTGAAGCGTCGATTAAGCCCATACCAGTGGTGCCGTCAATGAATCGTTGCAGAATCTTCTGGATTTCTTCGACTGAGGCTCCCAAATTGTCATCGGAGACCACGTGTTCCGGATCCGCTGACTTCCATTTTGGTGTCGTGTCCCCCTTGAATCCAGTAACGCGGAAGAGCTTTCCTCGAAACTTCCTTGTACAAAGCCTCATGTAGTCGCGCCAGAGTAGCTCGAATCGAACTGCCTTAGTCCCCTCGTTCTCGCCCTTTCCGTATCCCGAGGTTTCTTTGAATCTTTCGTCCTGACCGTCCTCAAATTTAACCAATGCCTCGTGGATTTGTCGGGATGTCAAACATCCGAATGACAAGTAAGCCGAGAGTTTGGTGCTAAAATCAATCCCGAGGAGTCCGTTACGAGTGTCCTTGTAACTAGACATCGATCCCGTCTTGATAAGGTGGTCGAGCCTCTCGATGGCAACGTCTTCGCCGCCCCTAAATGGGTGTACCGATCGGGCGTTCTCGGGGAACTTGGGTTCTTCGGAGAATGGGCTTGTCAAGGGTTTGAGAAGGGCTGACTCCAGTTCGTCATAGGTTGAAGGAATCTGGAATGGTGTTTGCTGAGGAGGAATGATAGATTCATCTGGGTAAGGTGGGAGAGATCCCTTTGCGGGACGGGGTAGCGCGGGCCTTGGCTTTTCGCGTAGTGGTTCCTGTGTCTTTCTGAAGGCCGTGAAGACATCGGCCAGTTCGTCTGGAGATTTAAAGTGTAGGTCGCGGCTGGAAAAGGAAAACCCCGTGTTAGCATCAAGATGACTCAAGGCAGGTGGTGAACTTACTCATCAATGAAGTACTTCTCGTCCAACCAAGATTTAAAGGCGACTCCATGCTTCTCACAGGCTGCGGACACGGCTTTTTCATCCTTCTTCTCCTCGATGGCTTCCTCAGCCGTCATCCATATGGCGCCAACTTTCTGCTGTTTGTCGGCAAATCCTTGGAGAAGGTCGGCGACAACGTCGCCAAACTTGCCTGCTCGAAGGGATAGGCCGCTGCCCACACTTTCAAGGGAATCCTTCAGATTCCAAACAGACTGGGCAACGAACTTGGTGCGATGGGGCCCACATCGCCAAAACTTTCCAATCTCGCTGCGAGCTTCGGGATAGGGGGATTTGGTGCCCTCCCGAAGGAAGCCGGATATCTCGATCTGGTGTGCAGGAAACACGTAGACTGGAAGCACATGAGTGAAGCCGTGGTCTGGGGTGGTCGACAGGTGGTGGAGGATCGGATTGTCTAAAACGCGCAGGTCGTGCCGAAGCAGATAAATGAGAATATTTGTTGCCGCCATCGTGGGCAGAATGTGCGTCGTACGTGATTGGCTACCCGTTGCCAAGTGTAAACAATGCTGAGGTTGCTCCAAGTGTAGACTACCTGTTTGTATGGGTTTCGAACTGCAGACAATGCAACTGTCGATGAAGTCGAGAGAATGGTAGGCCCGGAGCGATGTAGAGAAGAGCCGGTAGGAGCAGTCTATACCTAACAGCGAAGGGAATAGGTTAAGTCCAGATTGTGTTGGCAAGGGTCTAGACCGAAGTCATGGCGTAAGAGAAGCCGTTAGATCTGATTTGGTTCCCGACCAGCTGGGAAAGGAGGCCACCTAGTCTCGGAATCGCCACACAGGAAGTAAGGGTAGTTTGCGAACCGACAGACTAGTCTGTCAGTACGTAAGGTCAGGTAAAGGACCAAGAGAAGGTAGGTTCAGAGGGGAGAAGCGGGAGACAGGGGTTCCTTCTTAGGGCAAGGCAGAAGTAACCTAGGCTTGGACGAAGGCGTCGAGGGTGGAGGTTAGGTAGGTTGGGGCCAAAGGGGAATGACGCAGTAGCCGCTAGTTCCAAGGGTCTTGCCGTGATGGAAGGGTGGTCGGATGATGAGGCTGCTGAGAACACCGACGGCATCGACTTTTAGGTTAAAGGATCGGGGCAGGATGGGAACTATGGGGCCAGGACGAGGAGGATGCCTCTCTTTGTAGGCAAAGCAAGGCCAGGAGGACAGAGTTTGGTAAGGGAAGGGAAGAGAAGAGGGGCCTGAGGAGCTGGGGAGTATGGCGAATGGAGTACGGCAGAGTCGTTTACGCAGTGTCTGATGAAGACCAGGACACGATGCAGGCTTGAGTCGCGGTCCTAACAGTGTTCAACCTGGCAGATTCACGGCGAGCAGGTACGCTTTGGTGTGGAGTACAGTAGGTAGGTAGTAAGCTCAGACCGATCAATACGACGCAACTCTGTGGTCGACGGTTATGGGACGCCTTGCGGTACGGTGCAAGGCAGCACGGCAGGAAGGATGAGGACGTGGAAAACAGGTACTGGTTTGGTAAGGAGGCGGCTGCATTGTAAGAGAAAAAAGTTTGGAGATCCAGTCGTTTAGTGGGCGGAGGATTCGCCGATGGCTCGAGAGCAATCATGACGCCTCCTTTCGACTTTCACCCGTCCGACCCACGGCGCGTTGGACCCTGAGATTTTCTCGAGGACCTTCCTGGGTCTAGAATCCCCGCTCTCAAAAATGTCCCCTGCCTACGTACACTACCTAGTAGGATATTCCAGGAGGCCACCCAATTTGGAATGGTATGTCAGAAGAACACGACGAGGACATAGCACGTTTCTTGCAGGTCGAACGTTTCTCAATAAGGCAGGGGAACGAGGATGACGGGGTACGGAACATACTCCGCGCGGGAAAGACAGAAGAAAGTGCATGCCTGCCTACAGGATACCTCAGGGGACCCAATGGTGGAAAGCGCCATGGGGGTTTGGGGGGCGTCCAGGGAAGGAGGAGCAGGAAAGCAGGAAGGTGCTTTTGTGGTGGTTGCATGGCGATGGCGACGGCATGGGAAAGATGGATGCTGTGCACCGAGATCGAGAGGCGCTTTCTGATGCAGAGATCTAGTCCGGGGTTGTCAAGATCGAGTCTACACGGACGGGTCCTTGGGGCTAAAAGTGGGACATTCCCGGTCGGATCACTGAGGGCCTGCTGAGTGATGGGTACGTACCTGTACTATGTAGTTCCCGTCCCTTACTGCGGACCATCAGCCCGCCAACGCGCCAAACCGCTGCTGCTGCAGTGCTGCTGCATCACTTGTCATTTTGTCCAACATGTTTCCCTCCTTGTGCCTACCGGTATCGCTCTCTTCTTGTCGACCATGGGAAAGTGTGCCCAACCCCATCTTGTACGTATGTAGGATTCCCTCTCAACCACCGACAAGGACTACCCGTTCATCACACGTCTCGTCAAGTCTCATACACCCTACACCCTCGATTGTAAGGCATTCCCGTCGAGCATTCCAGCATCCGAGCATCGCGGCGGACCCAAAGCCAATTCTCACCACAACTCCCTGTCTGTCAATGCAGGTCGCAATGGAGCTGGAGCTTGGGCCACGCTGCGGCTTCTTTCAGACATGATGAATCATCGAGACCGCCGCAGCTTTCCCTGCTTTGTTATCTAGTCATTTTTCTATTTTATTTTTTCGGCTCAGCTACCGCCGCCCAGACATCAGACATCAGGCCCATCCGCTCGGCTGACCCATTGAAGAAATGGACTCGCCGCGCCGGCTGGGTTTTTTCACTTTGCGTACTATACATTGCTGTCAGCTGCCGTCGAGTCAGTCCGTCTCCAGCTTGACCTGTCGACGCTCGATGAAAGACAACCAAGCGCCAACAAGTCTTGAGATTCCACGGGTTGCACAAAGCAGACGTCGATATTCAAGTTGACAAGGAGGCTGATGGGACCCTCTCGACCATAGTTCGGGGGCGACACATGTCGGTTAAGCTGAGCTTGGCACAGCTCGGCACCCTGTCTCGACCTCCCATCACTACAGTACCTAGCACAATGGTGAAATGCTATTCGTTGATGCCACAGCGTCTTCTAAGCGTGTCAGGGTTCTAGCTCTCACCTTTCCGACGTATCGATTTCTATGGCAGTGGCGCCGTTTCTGACCCTGTCCTTCGCTTTTTTTTTTTGTGAGCACCAGCCAAAACGTCCGCAGCTGCGGGTGTGTCAACCCCAAGACTAGCACAGCTCAGAGCATATGCCAGCTGATATGGCTGAAAGTCGAGTCGTGGGAAAACTCCCGGAACCAATCAGCCAGGTTGGCGCCACATCATCGCAAGGAGCGCTTCGCTGCAAAGATCGACTCCCTTGCTCTCATTTGGACAAAAGTATCTTCCTTGCCTAGAGACGGATACATTGCCTCGTTTCTGGACTAGCATCGAGAACCTTACGTGTTACGCTGAGCAGACGCACGCTCTGATGCTGCATATTAAACCCCTGGCCAAGGCAGTCACTCGCCATTTCGATTTGCACGCACTGCTCGACTTTCCAGTATCAGTGCTTTAGAAGCCGCTTGCTTAGACGCAGGGCGATGAGTCTATGGTTCCCGCCGGATCTATCTGTAACTATGACGAACCATTTTTGCAGCCGCCCACTTTCTACAACCCCGGGTAACTGCTGCGCGAAAAAAACCGAGCTGCCGATGGTGCCAGCGACAAAGTTCGATCTGCGTGTCTGCGATATGCTCGATGCCCAGGCCGCGACATCGATGGCCATCGCAGACGGCTGGGTTTCGTGCATTTCCTGCCTCGCCCCGTTGCATCGCGGCTTTTAGCCCGCAACTAATTCGTGTTCCTCTTTTGGGCCCTTGATCCTGAACCGGCAATCGCGTTGGTGGACCACCACTACCATGCAAAGTGCATCCGTTGTCTTAACTCTGTCTCTCAACCAAGCAGCGTACGTAGTACCGCCGTTAGACCTGTGAACACCCGTCGTTGCACCACAGTCGTTAGTTTCACCATCGACAACGTGGACTTTATCCTCCTACTAGGACTTTCGAACGCGACGAGGAGCCAGGGGAAACACAGCCTCGATGTGAGGTTGACGAAGGCAACAATCATATCGACGCGTAACCCCGTATGCCCTCACCTCGACCTGACGCAGAGTCATTGGGAAAGTAACAAGCCAATTTTGCGCATCGCACACTTGCAGACACCTGCAGACACAGCCAGCAGAAGCTTGAAGGCGATCCAGGTTCGTTTGAGCATATTTCACCATCGACCTGCTCCGCAAGGCATGCCTCCGCCAGGCCGCACCTCATCTAACTCAGATTCTGTCCGCCCCGAGGATTCTAGACCCGCCCAATTTCGGCAACCCCCGTCCACCCACCGGACCCGGCCCCCGTCCCACAGGTGTCAACGTCCGGATTCGGGTTCCTGTCCCGGTTGGGCAAGCAACAATGTCTCACAATCGAACGATGATTTTTCCGCATAGGAAAATGCCTTGCATCCCACCTATTTTCCCATGGCCACGCACGTCACTGAGTGCTCGTCTCCCGTCCCTCTGATTATTCTCAGCATTGTAACTCTCCACAACCAACTGCACACTCCATTCACCTCGTCTGCAGGTCTCAGATTTCATCCTGGCATGCGAAAGAGTCGATTGGATAATACCGACTGCAATCTTCGTCTCCCCACGTCATCGGTGCTGTCCCTTGTCTTCAGCCGCCCACGAGTGGATCGGTTTCTGTAACGCCTGTCAATCCATCTCTAATCCAACAATCCGCGACATCACAACGATCAGGTAGTACTTCAGGCTTCCCTCAGTCCAACCACAAACTCCTTTCTCGTTCACAAGAGATACTCAGCAGCACCGGGTGCGCATCCCTTGGTCTTCGGCAACAAAACTGATGCCATCAGACGACTCTCTACCCTGGAGAGCAGTATGCTTGACGTTTGCTTGCCACTGCTTCAGGCCACTGCTTCAGTCTTGGCACGTAATGGCTATGCGTAACTCTGGCAGTCGACATTGGTCCAGACCTTTGAAAGTCCTGTACGAAAAAAAAGATCGGCTATGACGATCACCACCCTACCATACCACGTCATTATCGGTCTCGACCAAGAGACAGAATTGTGCTTCCGAGACATCCAGTCACCATTCTGCACCAATACGAACGAATTCTGGTATCGTAAAACGCGTGCTGTACTTCATCGACTTTTCAACATGGCCATCCTCATGACAAGTTGCTGCCCGTGAAGCTGGGCGATCTCGATGATAGCGACTCAAATTTGCGCCACATTTAACCCACCGCATTCCCGCAGGTGGCCGTGGCGAGCCGCTGCCCAGCGATCGGCTTTGCGCCTTCGGCCCGAACTCTAACGATGGACAAAATACAAAGAATGACATCAGATATTGCGGTCGATCTTTCTTGCGATTGATATTGGGTTGAGATGCGCACTTGGAGTGGCATAGCGCAAAACATTTCTGTGGTCGGACGGCGTGCGGGAAGATCCGTCCACCTCCTAAGCT